TGAAGTCCATACTCATGGGAAATAAACACCAGGGAGGAAGAACAGCTTCAGCTAAAGCTGTGCTGGCACAGGCACAAGAGAATATGAACTAGCTGTGAATCCATTTAAGGTGGAAATTGGAAAAAAAACTTTCTAACCACTACAGCAGTCAGGTTCCAGGGCAGCCTGCCCAAGGGGACTGGTGGGGACAATAAAATTAACCAGTTTTTGGTTGGCACTTGAGAAGCTTTCACGAGGGATTACAAGACGGTGCCGGTAAGAGATCACACTCGGTCGCCGGGAGTCTCCTCCTCGCTTCTGCTCCCACCAAACAGATCATCCATCTCCCCACGTCCCAAAGCCAGCGCTAAATGCTCCAGAGGCAGATGCAGGGAAACCTGCAGGACACAGGGCAAAGCCCCCCCCCGAAACATTTTCCCCTGATCTGAAGGTGCTGGGGCTTCACGTGTGCCTCAGCGCAGGAGGACTTAGAGTTGCTTTTAACGCCTGCCCAAGCGCTATGGGAATTCTGGATGTTCTGGTTACCCGTATGAGGGTCACAGCTCTTGAATCCAGCTGACACTTTGGTATCTATTGAATTCACCACAACACAAATATAACTGCACACTGCGGAAAGAATTTTACTGCAAGCAAACTCTCTGCCACCAGCAAAGGCAGCAGACAAAAATCCAGCCCAGTTCCATGCTGCACCAGCAGGAACACTCCTGGAAAACTGGAGCAGCCCCGAAGAGAAACACCCAAGAGGTGGGTGGCTGAGGAACCAGCAGAGAAAGCAGGTGGGTGGGGTTTTTTTTCTGAATATTGCAGCAAAGCAGTGACTAGTAGTAAGAAAAGGGGTGAGGAAAGAAGATCCCCGTGGGTGGGAATGCAGACAGACACCCACGGAGAGGGTGGCAGAGAGGGAAAGGGACCACAGAAGGAAAATGAGTAGCTATTGCAGGGTGTAAAAAAGAAGGCAAGAAGGATGTCAGGGATGTGAGAGCTCCGTTGGCAGCTGCTGATGTGGACTGTGGGACTCCTCTGACTACAGTAGCCTGCGCTGTGCCATAGTCCTGCAGAGCCAGGGCTTCATCCCGGGGTGGGGCTGGACCGGCTGTGGCAAGGAACAGGCACAACACTCAGTGGCTGCTGTCTGCACGGAGACTTTGCGAGAAGGTACGGCCCCGTGGGAAGCAGACTGGAACACCCATCCCTCTGTGTCAGGTCAACCGACAGACCGGACCATGAGGCACCCACCTTCCACAAAAAGCCTTCAGAGGGGAGGTGAGCGAATGCCCCGTGGGAGCGGGGGTGAGGTGTCCCTGTGTGAAGCGCCGGGGGACCACACAGCCACATGCAGAGATACTTTCATACGCGCTTGCCCTCCTGTTCGTCAAAATGCAACTAACCAAACAAAAACCAACCCCTTAAATGTCTCATTTGGGGGGCAGAGGCAAGGGCGGCCTCAGCGTCAAAATGCTGGCTCCCTTTGAGGGGACCTCTGCAGAGGGCCATTAAGCGTGAAGACCACCTCTACCTTCACAGGTCCTCCAGCACAAACCATTGGAGGATGGGGAGAACTTTGGACAAGTCCTGCAGGGCGCTTGCCCAGCTGTTACACTTCTCCCCACTCACCAGGTACAGAGAGGCACCATGGTGGACACTGGGCCGCTGGCACCACGGTGCCTGACACACCCACCCCCTTCAAGAAGGGGACCTTTCAGCTTCCAAGAAGAAATTGTGCCCCCAGTAATGCAATAAGAAGCATTACCACCATTAACCCCAGTTCCTGTGGTTACCTCTTGGCGCAGGGTGGCTGGCAACAGTCAGACATCAGCAACAGCCACTCAGGTCCTGTCCTACCTCTTCCCTTTTCTGAATACAGACGTGTAAAGCCCCACAAATGACACTCGAAGAGGGGCTGCAACGCATCACTGCGCAAGAGTTGTTACACTTCCCATGCTAGGGCTGGCAAATGTCCTGCTCCTCAAGCTGGGATGAACACTTCTCCGTGCCCTCTCTTCTAAAATCCCCTAAACCCCATTCCTTTGCCAGGGCGTGGGGTGCCGCGTGCCCAGGTATTTCTGCTCGGCTCTACTCAGCGTCTGTTTCCTCAGTCTTTCCTTGGAGAAAAAAAAAACCAAACCAAAAATCAGGGTTAAAACACAAAGACATTTAAAATTAAAATGAAAACTTGTAATAATAATAATGCTTAGTACTTACCTCACTCTTGCCGTCTTCAAAGTGATTTACAAATGTTAACTAATTAATTAATCTTCACATCCTCTCTGACTGAAATTCAGAGTCACGGCTGAAGTGAGCAGGAAAATAAAAAGCGTGGTTTTCAGGTGAAGGGCAAAGGGAAACCTATGCCCTGCCTGCTGCTTGCCATCCGGCAAGGCAATTTGCGGCAATATTGTCATTCTGCACTGCACACCTCTCATTTATTTTTCAGTCATACCAAAGGTCTGAAGCAATTTTATCTGCTACCTTCTGCTTCCTTTTTTTTAATGGAGGTCTTAAAAGGTGTTCCCTTTGAAAAGTAAACAAAATGGAAGACTTTCAGAGCTGTGCCGAGGCCCCTTGATCAAATACATTTAATCCCCAGACTCTTCTGAAGTCCACAACACAACCAGCCTCGAGAGGGGCAGGTAACAAAATGGGAAAAGGGAGCAAGTCCTGCGGCGGTGCTTGCCAAATGCCACCGCTGAAGAGCTGAGCCGAGCCTGGGAGAGAGGGCCAAGCTGGGTGCCGCAAAACAAAGCTGCGGCAGAAGGACGCGGGCAGACTCGAGCTGGCTGTGATTTAGCCCTGAGGATCCCATCTGGGGCTTCAGCACAGCCACGGGCCGGTGTGGTGAGCCCACCCAGGACCCTGTGTTGGTCCACGTGCTGGTTGCTGTCACCCGCGCATGGGTTTTTGTGCGAGGGTGCTTCCAACTCCGCTCCCGGGATACGCAGCCTGGATTTAAGCTGTGGATTCAGGGTGGTTTAAAAAGACCCTTCGTGCCCAATAACCACAGTGTGGCTAAAGAGAGCAAAGCCCAACAGGTCAAGAGAGGAGCCGAGACAATTGGGACAATGAGTTGTTATGGCTGCTCTTCCTAAGCGCAGGCGGGACTCTCGTGGGGCGCAAATATCCTCCTCCGTTATCGGTAGCTTCAGCTCTCCCTGGAGGTGCCATCGCTTCAGCCCAGCTCCAGCTGGACCTCAGCCAGCTGGGAGGACACATGCTTCACATGCTGCTTCAGCTCCACCCCAAACCTGCTGTCCTCGTTCCTTCACATCGCACCCCAGCGGCTTTGCAAGCGGCTCCTCTTTCAAGAGGATGTGAGGTGCCAGACATCGGGCAGGTGCTGAGGGCTTGCCAGAGACCACCTCTCCTGTTGGCACCTCGGTCCCAGATTAGCCCTTCCCAGGGAGTGGGAGAAGCCGGTGCATAGGGACATCGTTGCTTCTCACAGACAATCGCAAACGCAGCCGGCACGGTGACTTTCCTCGCCAAGAGGGACAGACGAAGGTGATGCGATGCAGATGGAGGAAGGCTGAAGGTAATTTAAACAAAAGTTGGAGGCGTTGTCACAAGCTCTCCCTGCAACTTACAGAAAACAGGACTCATCAAGTAGACTCCTTATCACTGCAAATTAGTCGGACGTCTCAAGGTGGGCTGAGACAACCCTGCAGCCAGATTTGCATCTCTCGTCTGCACACCAGCTTCGTGCCAAACCTCTCCCACTTGGCCCTTCTGTGCCAGAGGACTGCAGCTGAGTGGGCTCCACTCCTCGGGGCACAGGGAAAGGTGTGGGGCTGCCCGAGCTCTTGGAGACCTTAGCTGGTGACAGCGGTCACCCCGGGACAGGTCGGCATATCCCTGCCCTCTGGCACAGCCGGCTGGTGTGCCCCGCACTGTCACCTTACACACGGGGCAGAAAGCTGCTTAATTCTGAGTTTACGGGTTGGGGTGATGGGGGTTCCCCCACTGAAAGTTAAGTGCTGTATCACAGCAGTCCAGAATTACCACAAATAGCAATACTACACAAATATATTGCACCACAGCACGTTGTGGTGAGTATTGAGATGACATCACACCCTGAACGTGGTCTCACTCCCCCTCCCCACAAGCGAAGCCCTTAACAAGGCTCACTGCCCTCCCCCAACGCTGCCTCAGCTCCAACTCTCACCCGGCTGCACAGGGAGCTGACCCAGAAGAAAACCCACCCAGACCGGCGAATTGAAGAAGTCTCCATGCAGACAAAAGACCGGGGCTTTCCCTTGTTGGATTAATTTCCCTGTGGTTTGCTCACCCGCAGAAACCCAGGTTCAGGGAAGCGAATTTTAGCATTGGCACCACGGAAGAGACAGATCCAAGCGGGGGCGGGAGTCACAGTGTCAATTTACATTTACACCATCGTGAGCAGCAGTGCGACACTTGCATCTGACTAATTCGGCTTCGAGCCAGTCTCGAGGATGCATCCTCTGAAGAATATGATGTTTTTTTTCTGGGCATCTCACAGAAGTCAATTTCATCAGTTCCCCCCGGCCCCCCCCCCCTCAACCAGGCTCCAACATCACCCAAGAATGGCTTAAGCAACATCTATACCATGAAAACTCACCCAGATAGGCCTTGACTCTACTACCTTCAACTGTCAGACAAGTCCCCACATCACTTTCCATTTTGTCCAGGATCATGGGGTACGTAGTATTGACACAAATATGAACTTTTTCCTTATTGTCTGCGCCCTCCTCTGAGACTGCCTGAAAAGCACCTGTTTTGAACTTTCCAGATGCAAATGAACCACACACGAAACTAATTTAAATAAGATTTACGATTAATTCCTGCTTTATGGATTCTCATCCCAACAGAGCTACCATGGCACTACCCTTTGGAAAGGGAAGTGAGTATTTTGAGGGTGTTCCACCCAGAACTGGGACCGACGCTCCCAATATCATGACTTATTTTGGAACATTCAGAATCAGTATATGAGACAAAGACACACCACCACCGCAGCACAAGTTTGTATAGATATGTCCATAGATCTATATTTTTTATTGTTTTATATATATTTATAATATATTTATATATATTTTAAAAGAATCCCTTCAAAAACTACCCTCCCACCTAGCAAAACAAAGATTAAACAATCAAAGATGGCAGCTGCATCCTGGAGCAAAGAATCCCAGGGGTCTCATAGAGCCAAAATGATTGCTGAGCACCACCGCACTCTTTTCAAGCTTCTGTGATGCCCTGTGGGTGCGAAGGTGACTGACAGTTTTATGGCTCTTTAAATTGACCTGTCAAAAGACAGGGAGAGAGAAAGAGAGAAACACGTGGCCGTGGTGATGGGGGCTTGAGTGGTAGGGGAAACAGCAACGTATACAACTGGAAGCTCAGTGAAATGCTGTGATGGAAAAGGAGGGAGACACTGCTTGGAAAGTCAGTAAAGAAGATAGGAAAGAGAACAAACATGCAGGAGAATTAGTTGGCAAGATGGATTTCAGAGAAGAGTTCGGAAGCATCACACTTGGGACCCTTGCTACCCCTCCATCCCCCAAATCTCTTCCTCTCACCCTCCCAGTTGTGAAGGGAGATCCAACTAGTTTGATTTAGACCAAATCTTCGCACTGCCCCGGAGCCTGTGGAGAGAAGGACAAAAAAGGAAGGGAAAAAAAAAAAGGGTAATTCAGAGAGGACACTTCGGGCTCATCCCTGACCTCCTTCGCTAAATGCACACAAAGAAGAGCAGTTGATGTTCTTCGCAACAGAACACAAGGAAGGCTTATGAACCCTGCTTCAGACCAAGAGCAGCAGAGATTTCGCCTCAAGTCAGCAGGAGAAAAGCTCAGCTGGGACTACATCTTTGACCATCCCCTGTCCAGGGAGCAGACCCCTCAGTCAGTAACCACAACTGCTCTGAAACAGGGCTCCCCTCAGCTCACCTCCTGAACACACACCCACACACAGAGCGGCTCTGTTCATTTGCCCCCACTCCTCCTCACCCTTTGGCTTTGGAAGTTTTCTTGCTCGCCTGGCGCTGGTTGGTGCCAGGGGCCGGCTCCCTGAGCTCTGTTAGGTGCTGTTCCGGGTCTTGGGATGTGGCTGCTGCGGCGGCTGCTGTTGTCACTTTAATGGTCTTCTTCAGGTTTGCCACCTGCAACAGCAGAAAAAAACAAGAACCAAGGTATTTTCCCAAGGGTTTGGTTTTGTTTTTTAGTTTGTTTTGTTGTGCTTGCGTTTTTTGTTTGTTTCTTTGTTTTTAAAGCAAGCCCCGGAATTACAAGCTACAAGCTCAGGTCAAACAAAAGACCTAACAGCTGTCCAGACCCCTGCACAGCAGAGGAAATTTAACCTAATTTAGGACTGGGGGGGTCTGGCCTTGGGAAAAGGTAATGCCTTAGTTAAGCGAAGAACCATAACAACCATGAGGTACTGGTTCTAGTTATTATAAAGTGAGAGGCACTGGCTGCTCCCTCTTCAGGCCACTCACCTCACTCTCTATCTGCTGCTTAAGTGCCAGCTGTTGTTCTTTATGTTGGTTGGCCCGGCTAACCTGTTCTTCAATGCCCGACAAGACAACCTCGCAGCCCTGGCACCTGGAGAGAAGATGCAGAACTGAACAGGCCAGGTAACTTACAGAGCATAGCAAGAAACGTGAAAGATGACAGATTTCAACTCTAGAGGCCAAAAAGACCGGAAGGTGACAGCTATACCAGGCAGGGAAGACACAGGAGTCTAATGTAATAATGTTGTGCCATTTTTAACCGGGAGGGGGACAAATGACAAAGTGACACAAGGTTAGGAACTACAGATATATACTCTGAAAGCCTCCTGCCAGCAGCCAGGACCGTGCAAAGGTTGCTGCAGCCTCATCAACCTCCAACAACAAACAGGGGAATCCGTAAAATTATTTTCCATTGGAGTATGGGGAAGGGGATCGAGTAGGCCACCTCACAACACTACCCCCCAGCGACACACAGAGGATCCGGGGAAGCCACCGGCCACTCCTGCAACCATTTTTGGGTGTTAGCATTGGGGGCTTCCTCCTCACCACTCCTGCAATGTGCGGGTGATGGTGCTTAGCTCCTCCCTCCGGATGTCCCTCCCAATGCTGTAATCCACCTCCAGGCGCTGGTTCCGCTGATCCAAGCTCCCTCGCAGGACATCTGCATACACAGCCTCAATCACGAGGTCCTCCAGTTGCCGGACATTCTTCAGCTGTAACTGCTCCAGCAGCACTGAGTAGGGGATGCACTGTGGAAACATGATGGTAACTAGCATGAGGTAATCCCAGTGGAAGGAGAACCCGGGGGAAAAATAGGGCCACTACCTTGATCTTGGCAGCCAGTGTGACGACTGACAGGTGCCTCAGTTTGTTCTTCTGAGCCTCTGTCAAGGGAGGGAGGTTCGCTGCTTCAGCTGTTGTCAGAGGAAAGAACAAGGTATGGGAATTTATGCCTCATTTTCCATTTCCCAGCCCTGCACAGAAGCATCTGCACCATACCCATTTCTTAAAGCGTCTGCACACCAATCCCCCAAGTGATGCTTTGTCTTGCCAAGCCATCCCCATTAATTCTCAGCTCAAAAGACCTTTTCTGAGCAGCCTTTCCTCCCCTCAGCCTCAAGTCATCCTCTCTAGCTGTTGTCTGCCTTATTTATGGAAGTCTGCACATCCCAGTGGATACCTAAGTCTTTCCCCTCACCCCTCAAAAATGCCTCTGTCAAGATGTTCTTGGAAATTCCCCACGCAGCTGGCAAATGGTATAATTAATTACTGTCAGGTATGCCAGTGGACTGGGGCCCAAACCTCAATCGGGCGCCTCTTGGGCCGTAGTGACAGAGGCACAGCCCTTGCTGCAAAACGGGGCAGTTTGGACGAGGGTCTACAGTGGCCCGGGGCTCCGCACCGACGGACCACCACCACCACCGGGAGGGGAAAGGGCCCCTGCACCGCGCCGCGCCCCCACCGCCCCGGGGCCAAGCCTCACCCAGGTAGTCCGCATAGGTGCCGTAGGCGAAGATGGTCAGGAGACGGAAGACGGGGGAGAACTCGCTGTCGGCCAGCTGCGGGTACACGGGGTCAGG